TAGTTCCGCGGAGAGCGAAGTACCGTGGCCTGGCCTGGCCTTGCTTTGCTTCACAAAAAGGAGACACATTTGCAAACCTGGCAAACTGCGCTCGCATCGTCTCGAAGCACGATCTGCAGCCCTCTAGTGGGATGATACTGCCCCCGAATACCAGTTCTTTGTCGTTGCGAGATTTTGCATTCTGCCCAGAACAAAAAACGGCTTTGCAAGAAACCTTGCAAAGGGACATACAGGAACCTTGGGAGACAGAACCCTTGGATGAATGCTTGGCTTGCTACAAGAGTGCAGAGGGCTTCTGAAAAGCTGCACGACCCTTCAAATTCACCTCTGTCTTTCTAGAGAGGGGATTCACACACATCAGGCCATGGAAAAACACATCACCCCAATGTGGATGCTCATGCAGAAAATTGCACATCATTCGAGAGAATACAAATCACAAGACACGAAACCCCAACGTGGACGTCACTTGTTCTCAGACGCTGATAGTTCAAAAGATGTTTCTGTCAATGTTTCCATTGTACATCAGTGTGGCATCCGCCGCAGGGAACCTGTCCAGGGGTTCAGGGTTGACGGAGACCCCCTTTGCTTCCGCAAGGGCTTCCGCAAGCCAAGGGCTTCCGAGATACGTTACAGAGCGATGGTGTTTGGACACAATAACCATCGCTATGTTCGGATTCGCTCTTGCTGCCTCAGCCGCTTACATTGACCGCTGCTCATTCGGGGACGAAGCAAGGAGAGAACGGCAACTGGATCCAGCCCAGACCACATTCTGCGAAATGCTCGGCCCCCTTGCAAACACTTCAGGGTTGGGCGCAGGCCACTGTGCGAAGTGCAAGACCCCATTGTTCCGCCCATGACGAGGTAGTTTGCATGCAAGGTCCCCCCTTCTGGACGCCCCAACAGCTAAAATTTGGAGCAGCTTGGATCATTTTTTCGGGTCCTGTTCCGAAGTCCAGTGGACGCCGATCGATGTGCCGATGTGTATTTACACGAGCGATGCGAGCGATATGAGCTAGCCCCCCTCCAAAGTACCTCTCACATCTTGATAAGAACTTACAATTGGGATTCTCTCAACAGGTCTTGGTCGAGACTGTCTCACCATGCGCCCTGTTCTGACTTACGCACTTACGCACCTTGCCATGAGTGCAGCCCTTGGCGCACCCGTGCACTCAAGTCGTTCAAGCAGGCTCTCAGCTTTCACTCTGCGGCGTTGGCTACAGTAGCTTGGTGCCCTGCCGGGTGTCTACCGGCGATCCCACGCCATGCGCTCGCGTCATGCGCTCGCGACAATACGGGCGAGTTGGAGCTAAACAGGGACCAGAGTAAACAGAGCAATGGTCAAGATAAAAAGCAACAAGGCTTTTCTGTGCTCCTACATTTCGCTTCACAAGGGCAAAGCTGCTCCTCCAGATGCTCATTACGGCGCTTCCACTGCTCGCTGAGGAGAATGCGGAACACGGTCACCATAATCAATGAGCCGAACACCATAACCAGGAGCAAGCTTGGAAGGGATGACTTGTCGGGAAAGGCCGTGTAGCACCCGATGAGTATGAGGCAAACCACTGACCATCCAAACGTTGCCATGCCCACGAGCTGGAAATTTGAGTGCTGCTTCAGCCATCGAAGCCACGCTTCGCAAGGAGCCATGTTACAAATAACGGTGGATCCTTCTTATCACTACAAAACCATGTGGACCTCCGATCCAGCATGCTGCATCATGCTGAACAAAGTCCTCTCATGTCAAGGACAGAGCAACTAAAGCAGAATAGCTCCACGGAAGCGCCTAGATCAAATGAGGTGCGAGGAACCGGCGGGGGTCGTATGAGATCCCATGACCTGATAATTCAAAGCCCTCAAACGCTAAACTCCCAAACCTAAAAGTCTCCAAACCCTAAACCCCAAACCCTAAACCCTAAACCCCCAACCCTCAACCTTAAACCCCAAACCCTAAACCCGAAACACCCAGAGCTGTCAGAGCCGAGAACCTAAAACCCTGGCACTGAACTTGGCACCTCTCCGACTACAGAGTTCGGGAGTTTTAGGGTTTAGGGTTTAGGGCTTAGGGCTTAGGGCTTAGGGTTTAGGGTTTAGGGTTTAGGGTTTAGGTTTAGGGTTTCGACGGTTTAGGGTTTAGGGTTTAGGGTTTAGGGTGTAGGGTTTAGGGTTCAGGGTTCAGGGTTCAGGGTTTAGGGTTTAGGGTTTAGGAAGCCAATTTACAAGAGCCCTGTAGCCATGAGTACAGACTCAATATGGGGGGGTGGGGAACTCCTCAGCCCGACAGCCCCTTTGACACCACAGTCTCCGCCCAGGCACGCGGATGCCAAGGGGTGCGGTCAGCCTCGCTCTGGACTCGAGAGCCAAAGACAGTCTGTCAGCCTGCTCCTCCCATTCAGGGCAGCGCCAAATCAGGCTTCATAAAGGGGCAAACCCCTAAACCCTAAGCCCGAAACCCTCAGGGTTCTTCTAGCGAGCGCAGAAGGGCTCCCAACAGGACTGTGGAAAATAAAAGTGAATAGCCACATCAACGATGAGGGCTGTGGATTAGTGAAACAAGACCGACATCTTTCAATAGTCAAAGACCTTATAACCATCAAACGGAGAGTAGCACCACGATTCCCAAGCAAAGATGACGAGATTACCCCGAGAAGTACCGCGAGAGGCCGGAGGCCTGTGGGACTAAGTCCCACTGTGTTTTCCCAGACTACGGAGCAAACGGTCCTTTACGGTTTATTGCCGCCGGCTTAATCTCCCCTCAATGTTGCATGTTGTCAGCATCAAAAACTTAGCTCCATGAAGTAGGTTAAACGCATCTTTATAGGTCTCAATGATCCAATCTGCTTTGGGTCTTCCGATTCTTCTTCTAGGCGTTATTCCGCCACTTTTGAGAGTAACTTGGACAAGGGAGGTTAGTGAGGCATATAAAGGGATGAAGGGGGGAGACCAGCTGCTCCAGAAGCTTCGAAGCCTAAGAAATCGTAGATTCTTTCTGCTTCTGCTCGGGCTTTGCGGCTCGGTTGCGCGCTTGGGGCCTGAAGGCTCGGGACTCGGAGGCCTTGTGCAAGGATACGGCTTCGGGCTTCGGGATGCTTAGGGTTGAGGGTTCAGGGTTTAGGGTTTAGGGTTTAGGGTTTAGGTTTAAGGTTTAGGCGGTTTAGGGTTTAGGGTTGAGGGTTGAGGGTTTAGGGTTGGGGGTTGAGGGTGGAGGGTTTAGGACTCAGGGAGATGAAGGTTTGAGGTCCCACCTCCCTGAGTCCTGTCGCCTCTAGCTAGGGTTTAGGGCTTAAGGTTTAGGGTTTAGGGTTCAGGGTTTAGGGTTTATGGCTTCGGGTTTCGGGTTTCGGGTTTCGGGTTTCGGGTTTGCGGTTTCGGTGCTTCAAAAGCGACCCCAGACCTCGCCAAAGGGATACCCGCCAAATACACCGTACTACTTTCAGCCATAGAGTGTGGTGTATTTCCAGGAGGGTCTAGGGTTTAGGGTTTAGGGCTTAGGGTTAGGGTGTAGGGTTTAGGGTTCAGGGTTTAGGGTTTTCGAGTTTAGGGTTTAGGGTTTAGGGTTTAGGGGATTTAGGGGCTAAGGTTTAGGGAAACTGGAAACCCTTATACCTGAATCGAGGTGCCTGAGAGAGGCTCTGCACAAACTCGTTGAGGTCGTTTTGGCCGGCATTCTCCCACAGTTCCTCTCGCATCGTCTGGAATTTAGGGTTTAGGGTTTAGGGTTTAGGGTTTAGGGTTTGGGGTTTAGGGTTTAGGGTAAGTACCTTGCCGTCGCCCTGGCCTTAAACCCCACACACCGAACCTAAATCAAAGCCCTCCCTAAACCCCGCGTCCTGCCTTGTGAGCGGAGGCACCCGCTCCCATGGTTTGCTTATTGCAGAGTGCGCTGCAGTGGCCCCCCGAGATTGCCAAGACCCGCAAATGGCTGCGAAAGCCCAGCCAGTTCCCCAAACCCGAACCTTGGGGCCTTTTCAGGGTCTTGAGGGCTTGGCGCCCTTTATGGTGTTGACGCTCCAGGGAACCAGAGATCCGAAGTTTCCAAATAAGGTTCAGGGTTTAGGGTTTAGGGTTTAGGGTTTAGGGTTTAGGGTTTAGGGTTTAGGGTTTGGGGTTTAGGGTTTAGGGTTTAGGCTTTAGGAGGAACAGCTTCTGGGAACCCGACCCCCTAAAGCCTGATCTCAGCATGCTTTTACCCTCGACCATTCAGAACCCTAAACCCTAAACCCTGGCCCTGTCTAGCACGACCCCCACGTTCAGGGTTTAGGGTTTAGAGGTTTAACTAGGGTTTAGGGTCGAGGGTGTAGGGGATCCGCAATATGGGCCCTTGATTGGTTCCGCTGTTATAATAACCCACATAATGAGGGTCCGTACCTCGGATCCCGTTAAATCCCTAAGGGTAAGGGACCACACCTAAGGGCCAACTTTTTGTTTGGGTTTAGGGTTTAGGGTTTCGGAATTTATTGATTTGGGGATTTAAGGATGTAGGGATTTGCCTTAGGGATATAGGGATATAGGGATATAGGGATATAGGGATATAGGGATTTGGGGAATTGGAGTTTATGGTATAGGGCTTTAGGGAACTTAGGGCTTAGGCAGGGGCTTTGGAGTTTAGGGTTCTTGGGCTTTGGGGTCTTGAGGGTTCTTGGGCTCTGGGGTTGAACCAGCTTAAAGGTTTTCAGGGATTTTAGGGTTTAGGGTTTAGGGTTTAGGGTTTAGGGTTTAGGGTTTAGGGTTTAGGGTTTAGGGTTGAGACATCGGGGATCCAACATAGGCTCCGGCAGATCAAAGCCCCACACCCTACACCCTAAACCCTAAACCCTAAATCCCGAGTTTGAGCGCCGGCTCACGTGGTATTCTAAAGAGTTCTCCAAAGAAGTCTCCGGCCCATCTTGGGCTTTTCTTCGGAAGAAAAATGGAGGTTCTTACATGAAGCCTTGGCTTGCAGGCCCTTGCGTTAGCAAGAGCCTGCGCTCTACGTTAGCACACTTGAGAAATCCCCTAGGTCCCTAGGTTGAAAAAACTTCCTCCTCTGAGTGGAAGGCGATGTCGGCATGAACGAACTGGCTCCGGGTCAAGTCGGAGCTAGGGCTGCATGGACTGCATGGATCCGATTCCACCTCGTCTCCAACACTGACATTCAGCAGGGTGGTGACGGCAACCATGCGCAGAGAGGCCTCGAGCTGCTCCCGCACAAAAGCATTGAACCTCTCCACGCCGGCTGCCGAGATGAAGTCCATGATCATCTCACGGTCACTTTGTACGGTGGCCTGGGACTTCTCGGCATCCACGGAGTCAAGCACCTCCTGGATCAGGGTCTCATCTTCAAGGAGGCTCCGCTTCACGGATCGCTCGGCATCCGGGACGAAGCCACAGTACACTTCTGCCCCGACTTTCCAGGCAATGTAGATCTCATACAAGCACCAGGCCCTTGACAAAAGAGCCGGGTGCTGATGAGGGAGCAGGGCCAGCAACATGCGGCCGGGAACTTCGATGGAGCGCGTCAGGGCCTGGAGCATGGTATCATACACGCTTGCGGTGCGCTGCACGCCGTCGGAAGGATGAACTCCAGACAAGTCAGCGAAGTCGTGCTGGTTCATGCTGAAGATATCGATCCAGAAGAAGTTGTTCTTGTTCGTGTTCTCGTCGTGGCGCTTCAAAATGGCCATGAGCTGCGTGTATGGGCTAGACCAGCAGTGGCTCACCATGACATTCGGCTTCCCGATGTAGTGATGGGCCGGCAGCGTGCTCTTTGAACTCAAGGAGGATTGGAATGCGAGTCCTCCTGCGAGGCTCTCCCACACAGAGCAACGTGCCTGCAGGGTCGTGGATAGCAGGGTTTGGTGGCTTTAGGGTTTGGGTTTCGGGAAATGTCAGAGTTCATGGGTCCAAGGTTTAAGGCCCCTTCACGCTAGAATAAGGTTAAGGGCCCCTTAACCCTAAGCCCTAATACTTTGATGACTTTACTTTTGGATGCAAGCTTTCGCCTGCAAAGTGAGCGGTTTCAGAAGTTCCATGCAGAGGTCGCTGGTCCTCACCTCCTTAGGCAGCGTGGCTGGCTGACAACCCAGGATCCCCAAAACCTAAACCATGTTTGCCAGGGACTTAAGCAGATTCCGGAGATTTCAGGAGGGTTTTCCGAGGTTCCCCTCAGAATGTTCAAGTTGCGAATGGAGGGGGCATTTGGGTGCGGACTCTACGCAGCCGCTGTGGCTGCAAGGAAGCTTGCTCGGGGTGGAAAGTGAGGTTGGGGGTTTTGGGTGCGGTTGACCCTTTACCCTAAACACTAAACCCAAACCCTAATTTTGTAAAAAGTATTGAGGAGGATGCCGTGGTTTAGGGGGATGTTGGGATGGTTTGAGGGTGTTGAGGGGGTACAGGGTTCAAGGTGTAGGTAATCCTGCCTGGAGGTGCACGCTTTGCTGTTCGACCGTTGTGAACTTTCCAAAGCCGTTTAGAGTTGAAGGGTTAACGTTAAGGGTTTGTTTAGGGTCTAGGGTCATAATAACCCCAAGCAAAACCAGCTAAACCTGACATCCGAATAATCTGCACACAGCCCATCATAACCCCAGGCCTATACTCACTTACCCCTGGACCCTAAACGCGAATGCCTAAAGCCTAAACCCTAAGCCCGAAACCCGAAACCCAAACCTTCTCCTCCGAAGGACCCTGCACCAAGGATCCTGTGGTATTTCTTGCGTCTGCTCCGAGAGGGCATGGAACGACATCGCTACGGGTTGGACCAAACCACGGTTCCAGACCTAGGCGCGGTTTAGGGTTTAGGGTTTAGGGTTTAGGGTTTAGGGTTTACGGTTTAGGGTTCAGGGTTTAGGGCTTAGGGTTTTGGGTGTCTGGGCGGTTTAGGGTTTAGGGTTTAGGGCTAGAACCCTAAGCCCCAAAACCCTCACTCAACCCTAAAAACCCTAGAAACCCCAAACTTAAAACAACCGAAACCCCACAAGCCTGAACCCCAAGACCCAAAACCCGGAAACCCCAAAAAACCCTGAAACTAAACCCTAAACCCTAATTAAACCCTAAACCCTAAACCCTAAACCCTAAACCCTTGAACTGAGCAACAGGAACTGCAGTGTTCAAGCCCGTGGTGATGGACAGCACGGCCACACCTTGCTCCACCTGGACTTCGTGGGGTTTAGGGTTTAGCGTTTAGGGTTTGGGGATTAGGGTTTAGGGTTTAGGGTTTGGGGTTTAGGGTTTAGGGTTTAGGGTTTAGGGTTTAGGATTTAGGGTGTAGGGTTTAGGGTTCAGGGTTTAGGGTTTAGGGTTTAAGGATTTGGGTGCAGGGTTTAGGGTTTAGGGTTTAGGGATTAGGGTTTAGGGATTGAGGATTTGGGATTAGGGTTTCGGATCTACATAGGCGTTGGGCTGCGGGCTACTCATCTCATTCCATGCAGCACGGGCACTATGCTGGCAACTGTGTCTGGCCGAACTTGAACCGGGGTAGCCGTTGCAGTTCGCAACTGCTGCAGCGTGAGGAACGATTCCTCGGGTCTGAATCGCAAGCAAACAAACCGGAAATGGTTGCACTGAGGTGTAGAAGGAAAAACAGAGCACTGGCAAGGAAACCTCCGTCAAGCACTAACGTGGCAACAAAATAACCTGCAAACTTCAAAGAAGCTCTTCTGAAAGCCAAAGCACTACAGTCAGCAATACCAACAGGAACATGGCAAAAGCGTGCAAGACAAGGTTGAGGTATAGAAAACCTGAGAAGCTCCGCACGAACGATTCCGCTGCAGGAAGCAATGCGAACAAGGCATCCGCAACACCAAGAAGAAGACAAATACCAATTCCCAGCTGCGTGAAACGCAAGCGATGTGTCAGATGGCGTGGAATCTTCGGAGGCAGTTTACCCCGGAGTTTGCGCAAGCCGTGGGCCAGCATGCCAAAGCCAAATGCAGGGACCAAACCGAAGAAAACGAAACATTGCACCACAAAGAATGAGCCAGACAGGATGGATCGACTTGTGTGATCTTGCAGCTTGTGCATCAAGATCCAAAAAGGCACCAGAAAGACCACTTGGCCAAGCACGGAGAAAGCGCCCACTCGCCTGCATATCTTGAAGCCAAATGACTGCTTCTGCGTCTCGAGGGAATAAACCAGATGGACTGCTTCCATACAAATATCCCAGTAGACAAGCATCATCAGTCCAGCATGGGCCACAATGTCGCCGACGGCAAACGTCGAGTAGATGAAAAGATCTGAGGAGGGCTGGAATGTGGGATCCACACCTCTCATCAAGAGATGAGGAAGGCATAACACCAGACCAAAGACCATGCACGCAAAGCTGAAGACGCGAATGAACGGTCTGCGGGCATAGCAGGCAAGACCGCCATAGATGATAAAGATGCCGGCGTCGAATACGACGAACATGCTCAGAGTCCTTGAAAAGGACTGAACTATTTGCCCGGGTAATGCAATACATGCCCGTGTCCACACATCTCGCAAGGGGCAATCCATGGCAACAACCCGGACATTTTTTGAGCACTCATGCCATTCTTGATGCAACACCGTACTTGCAGCCTCGATCACCCCCGTTCATGTTGGGCGATGAGAAGGTTCTGCAGTAGAGAGAAAAGCAAACAGCGCAAAAAGTGTCTTGACAGTCTTTTGGTGAGTTGTTTTTGTCTTCCCTAGTGTTGCCCACTCAACTTGTAAGGTGCGCGGCTTCTTTTTGAGGGCCATATGTGATACTAAAACGGGCAGTTGTACAACTACAATGCGTTGCAAGCAACACTCTCTGCCACAAGCTGTCGAAGTCCATGCTCCAAAAGAGAGCAGAGAGAGGTGAGCGAAAAAAGACAGAAAAGAGAAAGAGAGAGAGAGAGTCTTAGCGAACAGAGAATGTAGGGATGAGTGTGGGATTTGGTGCAAACAAGAGAAGAATGCCTACAGCCATGTGCACAAAGCCTTCGGGTCTGTTCCCCCTGATGTTTGGATTGCTCCAGGAGCTCTGCTTTTCCACGGGTAGGCCTCTGAAACCCTACGAAAACACGGACCTCCACAACCCACCTCAGCCTGAGCACCATCACCCTGTAGCTTCAAAACCCTCTGTACCAACCGTATACTACTCCATTTTACTCTGCATCGGCCTAGTTCGGAGCCTTGCAGATGCTGCTGCAACTGCAGCTATGGTTTTGCAGTGTGCAGGGGTTTTTCAGAGGGCATCCTTCCAGCCCTTAACTCCTCGGGTTTGACACACGTCAGGCCGACCTGCGCAAGAAGCTCGATGGGCCTTGCCCGGAAACTGAGGGTTTCCTGGAATGGCAGCCTTCCGCTGCGGCGAGCATTCCCACTACATTCTGCAGCTCCCCAGACCTGCTCAGAGCCTCAGAACATAACGACAGCAGCGTGATTTTCTGGACTGACATGAATAGCCCTGAAACCCTACGATACGCAGGCCTTTGATTCAGAAACATGGTGCACCCGAAGCAACAAAACAGAACCTCACAAATATCGTTAAGTTCCCTGGCAAGGAGGAGCCAAACAAAAGATGCCGAAACTAACATGCCAATTTGTCCTCTGCCTTCTCCGATGAAGGACTCGGTCAGCGCGGCAGCCGACTTGCGGAAACAAGCTCGGGCTTAGCCCAAACTTGTTTTGGGAGTGCCCAATTCTTGTCTGAGGGGTGGACTCTTCATATCATCACCCCACCCATACAAGCATGCAAGAAGATGGAAGCTGTACGTCAACCCAGGCGTCTGCAGCGGTGAAGGATTGAATTCTTCAATTGCCACCGCGCTCCTGGGCCTTCCAGAGCTTCAGATCACGGGTTTGATTGCCCTATTGGAACTTGAAAGACTTTCATGGTGTGAAGCTTTTGGGTTGAGGGACTCTTTTTTGGGTGGCTTCGGTCTTTGCGCAGGGCTTCGGCATTCAACAGAAATTAGAGCTTGCAAGCGTCGAGAGACGAGCCGAGTTTTCTGATAGGCTGGGTATGAGGCTGGAATTACCTTGGAATAACCTTGTAGACAAAGAACTCTAAACTCTTGAAATAATCGACGTAGGATGGAAAGCAGAGCCAGGGGCTTGTGGTGAGAATCGCTGGTGAGTTCTTGCCAGGCGGAAGACTTGGCGCTAAGGAGCACAACAAACCCCCTAAACCCGAAACCCGACAACAACCCCAAGCCCTCAATCCAAAACGAAGTTCGCGACGTTGCTTTCTTCGTGGTGTGCTGCCGTGGTCGTGGCACGATGTTCCGAAACGCATTTGTCCACACCTCACTTGCCCATTCATCCCCTTGCCCACGCCAGTGGCATTCCAATCATCCCAGTTGGAATATGTTGGAACAACATCTATTGCCGTTCTACCAGCCTCCCTCAACTTCTGACTTTCCCCGACCATTAGCGGCATGATGATCATCCGCTGTTGCCTGGAGCCTGGCAGAGAAAGCGCTTCCGGGAAGCTCGGGCGGGATTGCTTCTGGCCGTTTTGGCAGACTCTGCATCAACGCTTGCGGCGGCGAGACAGCGGCGCTTCTGGTCGTTTTGGGAGGCTCTGCATCACAGCTTGTGGGTGCGAGACAAATGCAGACTCTGGCCCACCACCTGCGATTTGTGCTACTTTTCTCACGGATCCACTCAGGGCTGCAATGTATCGCATGTCGTTGTATGCGGTGTGTACAATGGGCAGGGTATCTGTGTCGCACCCCGCCTCTGCCGCCTTTGGAGAAAACAAAAGTCGAGGCTCATCCGCCGTATTCCATACAAGTAAAGCACGGAATGTCGGTTCTACAGATGGTCCTACGAACATTTCCACACGTCGGCAGACGAAACCTCTCGCCTGCTGACTATCACTGCGACCTCATCCGGAACTCCCTGTACACGTTCCGCGCGGTCCAGCTGGGAACTCTCGAAGTTGCCTCGAACTGCTCGATCTCACGGCACCTCTCGCTTAGAGTCGCCCTCAGGTCTGCGCAGCGATCCACATCCTCATTTGCAAACATTGTCTCGACACTCGCCTGCGCTCCTCTTGTAACGGTCGCCCGGATTGCTGCTCCGG